AAACAGCTTGGCATTTTCTAATAACATAAAAATATGCAGCCTTATTGTCAACACATCAATTCTACTTCTATTTGTATGGTCTAGAGAAACTTGTATACTTGTGAATCAGTGCATGCATTGTATATGTTTACAGAAGCAATATTTTGAAATGGCATTGAATTAGAAACAACCCAAATGTTCATTGATGGAAGAATACACCAAGCTATGTGGCAAATCCATTCAATGGAATACTCTATAGCAAATAAAAAGGAATGAGCTATAGACTGAAGAGTAAATATTATAATCAAACATAAAAGAATACATACTGTATGATACCATATATGTGAAGTTCAAAAAGGAGCAAAACATAAAAGAATACATACTACATAATGCCATATATATAAAGTTTGAAAGTAAAAACTAAACTACATTTATTTGAGCATACATGCATAAGTGTAAGACGTTTTCAGAGAAGCAAGAAAACTAATTACTATAAAAGACAGAATAGTGATTTACCTTTAGAAGGGCAAAGAAGGTATTGTGTTAAATGAGGAAGACACAGGTGTTTTCTGGCTAGCTGCCAATATTCTATGTCTTGGCTTTGGTAGTAGTTACACAAGATTCATTTTATAATCATTTATTATACTGATATTTATGATTTATGCACATTTCTGTATGAGTGTTATATTTCACATTTTAAAACATTTAAAAAGTATTCAGGGAAATGCTGGGAATATGGCACCCTGAATGTGTCTCTGCTGTTCTCTAATCTCAGTTCCTAACAACAGTCTTCCTCTCCTGAGTCTGTCTGGCAGGCAGACAGGGCCTTGTACGGTACAAATATAACCCTGGGCTCTGTAGATCCAGACATAGAAAGTTGAGGTCAGACTTACTCTTCTGGCTTTGGCCACAGCCTGGAGTTGTGGAGAATTTTGGAGCAAAAATCAGTGTACCATGATCTTTGAGAGAATATAGGTTTGGAAATCTGTGGCATTCTAGGAAGAAGAGTGGTTCCAAGAAAACTATTTCAAGGGGATTTCCTTTTCTCCCTTTCTTGAGAGCCTCAATCAGGTACTTACTACTACCTGTCCGCTGGTACTGAACTCACCACACAGACAGAGAGAAATCTGGGATACACCACTCTTGAGTGAGTATCCCAAGAACTCAGCCAGACCCTGCAGAGTAGGCAATGGGAAACTATAATACATGTAAGGGATCCTAGCAGCTAGAGAAAGAACACTCAGAACATCTGCAAAATGTGGTTCTTAATTAAATATAGCTGTTAAAAGAGACAGGTAACTACTAAAACAATACAACAAAAGTAATGCAAATGCCTAGGAGATTCTATTTTTGAGACAAAAGTTTAGTTTGTAAATTGAATGAGAGAATTAATTAGTATCCAAGAATATCAAATGGAATATGTATTTCAAAACATTGCAAAAAATGCAAAAAGACGGGAATAATGAAGGACAAGGTAGAAGACTTGGAAGATAACTAAACGTGAGTAATATAAGATCTAGAAGGAGAAAATATTGGTGGCAACATTTAAATTCTCTATGCTAAAAAATACTCTTGAGTCTGGAGAGTAAAAGGCCTTAGTTAATTTTAAGTATTATTTGAAAGGAAATGACAATGGTTTACAAAAGAAAACAACTATTCTGGCTATAGAATAACATCTACAGATGATTGATAGGGAAGGACTGAAAATAACTCAACCACCAGGAGGTTGGAAACATGTTTGTATATAAGAAAGAGTTCAAAGATTTAAGTTCCCATATCCCTTTTTGAGGAAAGAGCTTTTATATATATATAAAAAATAAATGAGTCAGAACAGAGATCTTAAGATAGGAGAAGTAGAAGAGGAGAAGAAACAATAAAACATGAAAAATATGTAGCTAGAAAAATTGCCTGAGAGCACGTAATATGTGAACTATATACATATTCTTAAAACAAAGATCCATATTTCAAACGAAGATCTAATGATGTATTGAAACCAAAAGTTTTAAACCATCTCAGCTAAACCTGAGTTGCCAAAGTGGTAGAGATAGGGGGAAGAATAAATAATAGCAGACAAACCAGTGAGACAATAAATCTTGAGGGAGATTGGGAAGAGAAGAGTTGTATTTTGTTTTTATATAATATAAAAATATGAGTTTGATCAGGAATTTTAGGAAAGGGAAATTAACCACTAATGAAATGGTAAATACAGTTAATTGCCCTTCTAAATTAATTGATGTGGTGAGAATACAGGGATTGGAATAGTTTGTTTGATAAATCAGCAGCAATAAAGAACAAAAGAGAGGCATATGGATATAGCCAGTCATTAATTAATCAATCTTGTTTTTAGTTTTGCAACGACTTTTGAAATACAAAGGACAATAAAATTCAAAAAAGACAATGTTAATTAATAAAAAATTAATACAAAATGTGTGCCATAAAATTTAGATTTTAGAGTTGAGCAAATATTTTGGCTTGGAACTTTCTTTTTTTTTTTTTTTTTTTTTAAGGAGGATTCTTGTTCTGCCGCCCAGGTTGGAGTGCAGTGGCACAATCTTGGCTCAATGCAACGTCTACCTCCTGACTTCAAGCGGTTCTCCTGCCTAAGCCTCCTGAGTAGCTGGGACTAAAGGTGTCGCCCACCACACCCAGCTACTTTTTCTATTTTTGGTAAAGACAAGGTTTCCCTATGTTGGTCAGGCTAGTCTTCAACTCCTGATCACAGGCGATCTGCTCGTCTTGGCCTCCCAAAGTGCTGGGATTACAGCTGTGAGCCACTGTGCCTGGCTGAATTTTTTTTTTATATTTCCACTAGCACTAATTTTCAGCTAGTGCTAAAATTATCTTTTTTTATTTTTTGAGAGTTTATAGAGTTTGTAAATTGTCTCAAATATGTTTTATAACAAGATAGAGCATATATTTTCAAAAAAATCTTTCATAACAAGAAGTAGCATACATTTTCTTTAAAAGAGCCTACATACAAATATATTTTGAAGAAAAATTTCCCAAAAAATAAAATGAAATTTATGAGTGAATGAATGAGCAAAGAGATAACAGACAGTCAAACAATAAGAAAAAAAGAGTGATAATATTAAAATCAGATAATGAATTTGGGTTTAAAAATTTTAACAAGAATAAGATATAATTGTTTTATACCTTTGTGTATCAAAATACATAGCAGCTGAACAGAAAGCAAAAATACATAGAAATATAAGTAGAGTTTAATTAAAATACAATATAGTGGTACCCTTTAATATGACTATTTCAGAATTGGACAGTTGAATTAGACCAAAAAGTAAGAATATACATAAAATAATTGAAAAATGTAATTCTATAAATTTCAAATAGAAAAAAATACATTGTATACATGTCTGTGGAATATTTATAAGAATTAATTACATACTTGACCAAAGAAAACATGTAAGATATACTCTCTAATCAAAACATAATGAAATTAGAAACAAGTCATTTTAAAAATAGTCCCTAATAATAATTTATAAAAGACCTTAGATCAAAAAAGAAATCAGATCTGAAATTATAAATGATTCATAGAAAGAAGCGAAAATAAAAATAATCAAAAATCTAAACATCACAATAAAAGCCTCATTCATATGTTCTTAATGCCTTTATCATTAAAGAAGAAAGACCAAAACAGGGAAAATGGAATTAAGTATTTATTAAGAAGGTTTTAACTTATTAAGGCATTAGAAAAAAACAAACAATGAAATCTGCCAAGAAATAGCAAATGAGAATTTTAAAATAAAAGCTAAATTTGAGTCATAGAAGATAAAAACAAAGAATGTGTATATTCAAAACTTGTTCTTTGAAAATACCTGAAAAACAACAGAAACAACAACAACCATAAAAATCAGAAAGTCAAATTATGTTAGAAAAAAAGCAACAAAAATATACAAGAATTAGAAACGAAATGGAAGACACAATCCTAGATTCAAAAGATGAAGAAAACGCTGAGAGAGGCACTTGCAACTCTGGCAACAAAGAGAGGGAAAAGGTGATTTCCTTGTAAAACATAGATCTTATGCACAGTGTTTGACACATGAGTTTAATAAATATCATCTATCATTATTATTGCTATTAGCATATCACATTCAAATTCCTTTGCCAGTTCATCCTAAGACAAAGCTCAAACTTTGTCTTAGAAACAAATAAACTTTCTTGCTGAGGAAAATTGCCAGAAACTATCAAAGGATAAGTTATTATCCTCATTGTAAACAACATTTATGAAGCACACATTGTGTCGGAGACATGTTCAGATTCGGTGAAATATAAGATATGGCCTCTGCTTGACAAGAACTTAAAATCTTTAGGGGCTGATATGTACATGTGAGTAATTATTTCGGACTCTGGGGAACAAGAGCCAATTGACAGTTGAGATCATACCAACTACCAGAAGGCAGGGGAAGGAAAGATCTTTCGTGGTCAGTTGATGACAGAAGAACTTTATGGCAATCGGATTCCAGTGGAATTCTTAAGGATGGGCTGGGTTGAAATAAGTTTCTAAGAGGAAAAAGGAGTGCAAGCTGGAAAGCAAATAAGAAACTCAAAGTTTGTAAACTGGCCAATGTGGCTGAAACAAAGAAGTACATGCCATAGGGAGCTAAAAGGCAAAGGAAGGTAAGAGTATGTTGGGTCAGATAATGAAGGGCTCTGGAGTTAAATCTGTGGAGTTTAGAATTTGTGCTGTACGCAGTGCACAATCATTACAGAGTTCCGAGCAGGTCGGTGACACCATAAGCTGCAGTCTTGGGCAGGCTGCATTAGCGGCAATGTGCTTGGTGGACTTAAGAAGGGGAGTAGACTTGGCTGGGAGCAGCAGAGCAGCCGCAAGGCAGAGGGGCTATTGCTGTCATTTTAGGCCTTGGTGAAATCTAGAAATGTCATTATCCCTTTCTGCAGACAGAAAAAACACAAAATGACTTCTGAGCCAAACAGAACAAGGAGGTGTGTAGGCAGTAAAACTAAGATGCCTTCAGCAATCCTGGTACAGAATTAGCCACACTTACCCAACTCCCGACTGTCCTCCTTTTAATATTAGAGTAACTCTTATTTTTTGGCAATGTTTCTCAGGTCCTCCAGAGGTGGCAGCCTGGGAGAGAAAACCTCTTTGTCACTGATACACATTCATTTATCCACCATGAATGGGACAAATTTTATAAAGGAGTTTCCTTGAATTTAGCCTGGGGTTTGACTCTCCATAAAGCCGGGTTTCCTCTGACTCTCCCCCACACACCCCTCCTCCGTGGTCTGTATCCTCTCCAGGAACACAGAGAGTTAACCTTTGCAATCAGATTTGCTCTGTGCAACATGAAGTGTCACCCACAAACGCAGTGTACAAGGCGTCTGTGAAACGTATGAAAAGAAGTCCAGGAATTCAGTTAATTAACCACATCAGTTTCTTAACGTGATCAATTTTAATTAAACTGAATTTTAATAGAGATCGGTGTAGTCTGTAGAGACCAATTGCTAATTCTACAAAGCATGTGCTGCTTTTCAGTTCAGATTTGCTCCCATCTAATTAATATGGATAGAGCATTAAGCCTTTTTGGACTCTGGTGGTTTTCATTTCATGACTATTAATGATTTTAATGAACTGGACTAATTCAGTAGTTTTCATCCCAGTGTTTCAGGGCTTTGTTCATCACAAATTTCAGGTTTATAATTGGTTTCCAGGTCTTAACAGTGGTCATTGATCAGCTTCAGCAGTTCCTTTTACAACTCGGTAGGCGCTGGAGACTGTGTTAACCCTTTGCTGCCTGGAGCTGAGAACAGTGCAGTGCTTCAGGGCAGAGTCCTGGCTTAACTGTCAACCTAACATAGCCACAGGGGTAGGGGAGAACTTAAAATTCATATGGTGAGGTTAGCACAGGACAGAACAGAAAAGGTCCCCCCAGCAATATGGAAGATTTAAATTAACAACAACAAAAAAAAGACTGGGGATTAGCTTTATTTTTCAGTTTTAATTTTCAGTACTCCAAGTGAGATATGCATAATGAAATTATCATTTTTATTTTGGCAAACAGCATTTTCTAACCACTCATTGGCCCCTGACAATCCCTACCAGGCATCTTTCGACAAACAAGGAGTTAAGACTAAGGCATAAGAAAAAAGAATTATAAAGAGCTAATAAAAAACAGAAGCAGTGAGACTGGGCTGAGGAGGGACATAGCTCGAGAAAACTAACACAGATAAAGAAATGTACACATTGATGAATACTTACTTATTTTTACATGACTGGGATCAATCTTCACCATTGGAGAATTGCTCATGGTCCTTCACTGCCCTGAAAATAAACAATGACATTTGAGCCTCCCATTTAAAATAAAAGACAAAACTTTTAAATACTCTGTATCCAAAGTGACTATTACATCTTTATGTTGCTGCTGCTGCCTTACTCAATTCCAAAAAGTGACAGGCAGGATGAATATACAGAAGAATCTAGGTCACACCACCCAAATAAAGCAAGGTAGAAGAGAGAAGATTCTCTGAAACAGGCACCTACCTTTTTAATTATCCAAGAAACAGCGGTGTAAACACTCAAATCCCAGTCTAGAAACGTAGCTCAGAATCATCAGAAGCTCTCAAAAAGCTTGTTTTTGTAAGCCTACCCAGAAAATTTCCTCTTGCCCCCCTCACCCACCAATGGAAGAACATAAAAATCTTTGCAGAGGTACAGAACTGTAATTCTCAAATGTTCCAGGGTTGTTTTTTTTTTTTTTCCTGAAAATATTCTGCCAGAGATTTAGTTGATTTGGATTCCAAACCCAGTTGAAATCTCTTCAACAGTTTAATTTGTAAAAAGATATTTCTTATTCAGTAAGATTCTTACAAAGATGGTGACTTTTTTAAAATGTATTTTCAAGCAGAGTATCTGAAGAATAAATTAAATGAAAATCATTATCAAGTAAGCATTTAAAATGACCCAGGAGAAAAAATATGTATAAAGTTGAGAACGTGCATTTATTTTATATTTTTCTCACTCCACTCCCCTTGACTCAATCATACCTGGTTTCTTTGATAACATTGGTTGACAGATTATGTCTCTGACCAGTTGAATTTATTTCTTCTCCTATAGGTTAATATGTTAAACAAGCTGCCCGTTATAATAGAGGTGACTGTACATCTTTAATTCCCATTCATCTCTCAATCCTTTTCAGTCTTACTTCTGTCCCATAGAGCTGCAGAAATACTCCCCACTTATAAAATGGTGATAATAATGGCTTCCTTGTAGGGCCATTGTGTAGATTAGCACACTTAGCAAGGTGGCTCAATAAATTATGGCTATTACTACTGCTCAAATCACCAACGACCTTTTGATTGACCATCAGCTTACATCCTTATCTGCCAAGCTGTCTGAAGCATTTGACACTGTAAACCACACTTTTTAAAACCCTCCAAGAAACCACTCATTTATACCTTTGTTCTTTCAACAAACATATATGGAATATCAGGCAGTGGTCTAGGCACTGGGGATACCGTGTATTTCAGCAAGGCAGAAAGTTCTTATCGTCTTGGAGTTTTTATTTTTTTCTAATGAGGAAAATAGACAAATATGAGTCAAGAAGTAATAGCTAACACTTACTGATAACTTAAATTGTACAAGACAACATTCTTAGCTTTTCACATATTTTAACTTCTTTAACAGATGAGTGTATTTTCATGATCCCCATTTTATAGATGAGGACACCAAGGCACTGGTGGCTAACTGTCTTGGTCAGGATCACAAAGTTTGTAAATGATGGAGTTTGGATTTAAACCAAAGCAGTCTGCTCCAAAAATCCAAGTGTTTAAACCCAATGCGCTACTAAAAATCAGAAAACAAGAGCGACATCACAGAAAGAAAGATACTGTAAATGGTGTGGTCAGGGAAACTCTCTTTGAGGAGGCGATATGTGAGCAGAAACCCCAGTACTGAGAAAGAATAAAGCAAGCATGGTGTCCTGTGAACCGAGTTGAGTCTCCCACAACAAATTCATATGTTGAAGCCTTCATCCCCAATGTGACTGCATTTAGAGATAGCGCTTTTAGGAGGTACTTAGGGTTAAGTGAGATCGCAATGGTGAGGGTCCTACTTCAATAGCACTTTAGAAGGTGGCTTTAGAAGAGAAGGAAAAGAGAGAGCCCTCTCGCTCCACATACATGCACTGAAGAAAGCCCAAGAGAGGACACAGTAAAAACGCAGTCATCTCTACACCAGGAAGAAAGTCCTTACCAGAAAAAGAACTGGCCAGCACCTTCATCTTGGCGTTCTCAGCCTTCACATTTCTGCTGTGTAAGACATCCAGTTGTTGGTGTTTGTTTTGGCAGCCCAAGCTGACCAAGACACCAAATGGAGTCTAGAAGCCTAGAAGGATAATGCTTCTGAGATGTTTAGTGAAGAAAGCCAGAGTACTTGAAAGCTTGGAAAGATAAACTTTGACAGGTGGTATTGCAATAATGGGTTCAAAAGAGTGATCATGAGGCTAGGTGTGGTGGCTCACATCTATAATTCCATCAACTCAGGAGGCTGAGGCGGGAGTTTTGCTTGAGGCCAGCAGTTCAAGACCAGCCTGGGCAACATCATGAGACCACCTCCATCTCTAAACATAAAAATAAAAACTCTTAGCCAGGTGTGATGGTAAATGCCCATAGTTCCAACTACTTCAGGGGCTGAGGTGTGAGGATTGCTTGGGAATTCGAGGCTGCAGTGAGCTATGATTATGCCACTGCACTCCAGCCTAGTTGACAGAGTGAGGCTCTGATTCAGACAGAAAAAGGGGACAGAGGTCAGAAAAAGAAAAACAAATGTAAACAGCTCTTTCAAGGAGTTTTCTTACAAAAGAAATCAAGAAACTAGCCATGACAGCACTGAAGGACCTTTACGATGGAAGATAATATGTAATGTTTATATGCTGATGGCATAACTTAGTAGACAGAGGAAAAGTCATGGGAAATGATAGAAGAGGAACAATTGCAGGAACAAAGTCATTGAACAGAGGAGAGGGAAAGAGATCCAACACTCATGTAGGGGGGTTGAAATGAGGTTCAGAAATAGTTCATCCACTGTTCCAGAAGGGGAAGCAGGGGCTATGGACATCCAGTCAGTTCTCCTTGTCTATGGTTTCCACATCCGTGGATTCAACCAACCACAGATCAAAAATATCGGCGGGGAAGAGCAATAAAAAATAACAATGCAACAATAAAAATATAAATAATGCAAATTAAAAACAATCTGGTACAATAATTGTTTACATAGCATTTACATTGTATTATATATTATAAATAATTAAGCAATGATTTAAAGTATATCAGGGAAAGTGCATAGGCTATATGCAAATACTATACCATTTTATGCCAGGAACTTGAGCATCCTCAGATTTTGGTATTCATGGGGGTTCTGAAACAACTGTATGTACTAGAAAGGAAGGCAGCGTTCACAGATACATGCAAATACCTGGGTAGGACAGGTGATTTGATAGTGTAAAGGAGAGAGTTTTTGGTTTCTCTCTTTAAGAGACTATTTCATTAACAGAAACTACATGTCATTCATTACTGGACACTACTGTTATTTTCTACCCCTTGTACAGATGAGTAAACTGAGTCCCAGAAAAAAATAAGCAACTGGCTCACAGAATTCACTCAGGTAGTGAGTAGCAAAACTGGAATTTGAACTAAACCTGCCTCTTTTGATTGTTTTTTGTTTTAGAGCCACCATTGGTTGAAAGTTAAAGGGAAGAAGATATTTTGGAGTTTGGAAAGTAGAGGACATGTTGAGATAATTATTTTAGATAACAGACAAGCAAGTTGAGTAATGAAATATAGCAGAATTTCCAGGCTGTGCTGAAGATTTTCTTGAGATTATGAACATAAATTTAAAATGAAACCAGTCTGTATGGATTTGTGTTGTGTGGCTTTGTTTTGTTGATAGTTCTATTTAACTGATGAAATTTAGCAATAAATTTTAAACAGGTTTTGGGGTATGCCAGTAGAACATGATGGAAGCAGAGACAGACAAGGCAATTGAGGATACTGTATATAATGTTTTATGGTCATCAACCCTGGATCTAAACTGGATGAGGAGGAACAAGAGACCAGAGGGGCTGATAGGTAGTAAAAGTGGAAAGACTGAAGTGGGTTTGGTACAGTAGGTAATTTGAAACATGAAAGAGAGTATTTATTCATTAAGATTTTGATGTTTAGAGTGTGAGGTATTTGGCATTAAGACTTTTGGAAAGTTCTAGGGTCAGACCACGGAAGGTTGGGGAGGGAGGTGTAGATTAAAAGTGTGTAGAAAGCAATGAGGTCAGGATAGTGACAGGCAGGATGTGAACATTGAAATTCCCAGGAATAACCGCAGGATAACATGGAGGTAAGGACAGTGAGCCAGTGTTAAAACTTCAGAGGTTGAGAGAAGTGACCGGGGAACAGGCGATTGTAAAAGAGCAGAGAACAGATGGTCATTTAATGTTATCTCCTTCAAAGGGGACAGGGGCTTTGAGGGTGAAGGAAAGGACTAGGGTTACAAGAACACTAATCCCCAATTCCAGGCCCCAGTGCAATCCCTTTCCATACTTCCCGATGAGTATTTTACTCTACATTTATAAGTAATATGCTTATGTTGCTATTTCTTAACTTCAGGTTTTTAGGCACTATTTATTGAGTTTGAACTTTGGAAAATGAGGACTCTCTTTGACATACGTGTGTGTGTATACACACATGAAAATGCACATTCTCTCTCTAAACCCACTCTGGTTATATTTATGGGTTCTGTTGTTTTCTTTCTGAACATTCATAAAAAATTATTTTGGTTTCTAGTGTTTGAAATTTATTATTCTGGGCACAGGGTGGACTCCTTCAATCTGGAAACTCATGCTGTTTGTATTGGGGGAAATTTCTTGATTTATTTTTTTGAGGCTAGATTTTCCTCCGTTCTCTCTCAGTTTGAGATTTCCTTGACTCAAATTTAGATTTTAAAAAGTATTTTCAAGTAAAGATAGTGATTTCACTTCTTAAGATTACTGTGCTCCACCTCCATTCCCACCCCATCTACATTCTGGGACAGTCAGCAGGCTTCCTTGTGGCTTCCCAGAATAAGAGGTCAGAGTTTTTTAAGTCCTCTTTTTATAGGTTGGGCAGACCTTTGAGCTCCTTGGGCCCATAGGTGTGGTTCTGTCCCCTACATGGCTTTAAAATACCCACTTCCAGACCACAGGTCCAATATCTGGTCTGATATACACAAGGTGCTAGCAGCGCTTCTCATCATTCTTGCTCTGATTTCCTGCTTAGGTTCTGGTACCTGGGCATTTGTTTTAAATTCAGCTATGTGACAGACAAAAAGTAGTTTTTTACAACATTTTATTGAAGACTTCATGAGTTTGTGGCGGAAGAAAACAGGCAAAATTTTGCTATATCTATTACCCTTGTTATCACCTTTCCTTCTTTTTTTTTTTTTTTTTTTTTTCTTTTTCTTTTTTGAGACGGAGTCTCACTGTGTTGCCTAGGCTGAAGTGCAGTGGCGCTATTTTGGCTCATTGCAACCTCCATCTCCATCTCGCAGGTTCAAGTGATTCTCATGCCTCAGCCTCCCAGTAGCTGGGATTACAGGTGCCCACCACCATGCCCGGATAATTTTTGAATTTTTAATAGACAGGATTTCACCATGTTGGCCAGGCTGGTCTCAAACTCCTGAGCTCAAGAGATCCGTCTGCCTCGGCCTTCCAAAGTGATAGAATTATAGGTGTGAGCCACTGTGCTCAGCCTCACCTTTCCTTTTTTATGTCCTGGGTACTTTACTGGGCTTCTTCCTGTTCTCCTTGCTGCAAGTTACTACTTCCTT